GAATTCTTACTTTTCGATCGTTTTTCTTTTAACATTCCGTGTTTTCTGCAGTGACACACGTTGCACGCTCATCTTCCTAAGCCCCAAATATTCCATGGCCACGTATTTCGACCCGGACCGTCAGTCGAACGTAGACTACACAAATGTCAAGAAGGTTCTTGATGATGTTCTCCCCGGCTACGCCCAATCTGGAGGCACCTTCACCAGGCATATTCGTAAGTACGGCAAGCACGTGTTCTCCCACAATACGACGTTCTGCTGTGTCAAGTAGCCGCCTGGCGGTCAGAAGGGTGCCTACTACGCCATCCATCACATGCGGGCGATCGTACGGGACCATCATCAACTTCTGCTACCGAGTAAACTCAAAGATTGGGCCGCGAGCGTGTCGGCAATCCAGGACGCGGACCTCCAACAAGAATTCTTTCGCATCCAGTCGGAGTTTGTGGAAATCATCCATCAAGATGTCCTTCATACCTCGGGGCAGTTCTACCTCAGAAATCAACCGTCCAACAGTGACATCGACACAATGCTACAAATGCAGGATGACAACGCCCGTTCTTTCATGACTCCCACGATAGACGGCGGCTTCATCCACGCTCCGGTCCCTTGAGTCGAGTTGTATAGTTCTGAAACATCGATTGGCTCATGTTGTAATTAAACTTTAATGAACTTGTAGTATGTCTCTTTGGTTTCGAGAGTCGTTCAACTTAGATGTAATCGATGCTATTAATGTCTTCCTTTTCTCTTCCGATCGTTCTGTTGCATAATTATATATTGCTTATGTATTGTCTGTGAATTGGTACTAACGTTTCGTTTGGCTAGTGCATAGCGATGCCGACGTATGTCGTGTACAAGGGTAAGGTTCCCGGAGTCTACGATGACTGGGAGGAGTGTCGGAGACAGGTTCACCGATTCAGCGGTAACAGTTACAAAGGGTACACCACTAGGGCCGAGGCCGAATCTAGATACGCCCGCTATCTAGCGGGAGAGGGGAGGGAGCGTTGGAGGAACCGGATGAAGACGAGTTTCATCGTGATGATGCTCATCGTGATGACCGCAACTCTCTTCTATGTGATGGTAGTTTAGATGATCGATATCGACTTGTAATGTGAAGACAAACTCGCCACTCGCGGTCTCGAGACTTGTAATATAATGTTCTATCTTTGTTCGGTCTTTTTAATTCGGAGACTAATATGATGAATTGTATTCGGAGACTAATATGATGAATTGTATTCAAAGACTAATCTTCTATTGTATTCGATGAATCTGTTGTTGATGTGTGCTGTCTATATTTTGTCAAACTATACATTTTGTAACCTGTGCAAAAAACAGAAAATAAAAAGATAAAAAAAACCTAATATTCATACTAATGGCGCATCACAGGACAGTGCGCCATTAGTATGACAGTGCATACTAATGGCGCATCACTGGGTAGTGCGCCATTAGTATGCTGCGGTTACTAATGGCGCATCCAGTGGTGGTGCGCCATTAGTATGCCAAAGCACCTGGGTATACATGGCCCCTGGGAGGCATACTAATGGCGCACGCTGGCCTATACTAATGGCGCACCCGCGGTGCGCCATTAGTATACCAGATACTAATGGCGCACCAGGTGGTGCGCCATTAGTAAAAAATACTAATGGCGTGCTGTTAATGGCGCACCACAGATGCGCCATTAATGGCCATATTAGGTGCGCCATTAGTAGGGGTTTTTCTAGTAGTGCCAGGTACCAGGAATCCTGTGAAGCCCGTGATGCCGCCTGAAAAAAGGAGGCGGTGGAGTTTGGGGGGCGGGCACGTCGTCGTGCGAAGGAGGTGTACAAAGACGGTACTTCGCGAGGAAGGCCAGAGGCGCTAGGCGCCTCGTCGCTGGTGGAGCTGGGGCGATAAGCTCCAGGATGCCACCGTCGAGGAGCTCCGGTGGGCGCCCAACAAAATGGCAAGATCAATCGCGCGGGTCCGCCTGCAAGAGGCAGATCGACACGTCAAGCGCTGCGAGGCGGAAGAGGCTGAGTACCGCCTCCACTCTGGGAAGACGCCGCGCACCAGGGAGCTCCTGGCGAGGGGCTGCCGGAATACTGGCCCCAGGAGGGATTATTAGTTTTAGTACTGTTTGTATTCAATTTTATGCATTGTACCTAGTAGTTAAGTATCATCACGTATATGTGATGATATTATATATATTCCGTGATGAACTAATGAACAATTAATATTATATGTATTATGAATTACATTTTCTATCTGATTTTGTATACTAATTTGAATCTATCTGTTATCATCCACATATACAGAATGGAAAGCGTATAAACACACATTGAAACAGAACATATAAGAACGAAAAATAGAGTACACATATTGAAACAGAGCAATAAACATAGCAATACTATGATTGCTGTGAATACATAGCTATCCATGTTAAAATGACTCAACAAAATAAAATGCGTCCATGACACCATGACCAGCCGCCCTTGCCTATGGTAGCTCTTGGCTCTGCCTGAACTCGTGCAGGTGTTCGTCCAAGCGGTCGACACGCTCACGGTACATTTGGAGCGCGATCTCGACCTCCAAGTTGGCTATTTCATCGAAGATCACCACCTCGAGGATGCGACGGCCATGTTCCTCTACTGCGCCCAGGTTTGGCCTGGGGTAAGGCTCTCCACCTGGCCGAGATGACCAGCGGAGTTGGCGTGCAATACGATGACGCCGACAGCCAAAAGTTGGTCGAGGACGAAGATATCCCCGCAGCTGACTCTGTCGTCGATCCGAAGTTTGGTCGAGGACGAAGATATCCCCGCAGCTGACGCTATCGTCGATCCGAAGTTCTGCCATCGGGCTCTCGTGATAACCTGGCGGGACCTGTATGGACCATAAATGTCGGTGCTAAAACTGACAGATCTCGGGTAGGGGTCCCAAGCTTATTGATCAAAGGTAGATGGTAACAAGGAGAGTAGGGACACAATGTTTTACCCACATCTTGATGAGGTAAAACCCTACGTCCTGCTTCTTATATATTGATTGTGACGGGGGTACAAAGTACAGATTGATCTACCTCGAGATCATATGAGTTTGTCTAAACATGCCTAGGGTTTACACATGGTCGATTACAATGTAGAGATAAACATGCCTACTAATCAAAATACGCTTGAAGCGTACGCCAAGCCTCCAGAAGATTTTCGTCTTGATCATGCTAAGGCCAAGGTCGGCAAGGCCCAATCATCAGTTTTGGTGGGTCCTCAGCCCGACCCATAGCCTGTGGACCGACGTGGCAAACACCTCCTAATCCATGACACCAACAACTACCACAACAAGGTTTGTCCGGCTCCGATGAAGGAGGACGATGACGGTGGCGCGCCTTCGACTCGCTCCAATGATTGTAGTCGTCGCTAGGTGGTTTACGAAAATGGATGTATTTTTTATTTCTAGTGGCTTGTGTACTACTCCCTCCGTCCATAATGTAAGACATTTTTTAACACTACACTAGTGTAAAAAAGACGTCTTACATTATGGGACCGAGGGAGTACCTAATAAATCGGAAGTTTTCTCAAGGAAAAAAGTAGCGCGGTTCTAATTCGGCGCGTGCTGCCTTTGGCGTACTGCTGCAGTGGGACTCTGGCAGCATGTAGCCCACGGAGTTATTAGCATGCCGCATTTTTGCTCTTTCAAGCAGAGATCAGCGGATCAATGAGCAACACGTCAGTACTTGACCACACATGGTTTGGTAGCTGGGCCTGCTGGACCCGTGCTACGGCACCGCTACTGGCACGTGGGCCCTCTCCGCCCATGGCGACCTCGGATCTTCTCATTCTCGGATTCTCCGTCTCCTTGAAATTTTGAATTCGCTATTTACTGTCGGAGAGAATACGGACGTGAGATCCATGCACACGAAAGACCCGGTCGTGTGCAGTAGCACACATGCTGGACATACATGCATCGACAAAGACAACCTTGCGAGGATGCTAGGGAAGGAAAATCACAAGCTTTCTCCAATCTTAGTCACCTTTGGAGATTTCTGGACCATCGTCCAATCATTATCATCACTTTTAGTCCTCTGGCATGACATAACATCTACTCCCTTCGTTTCTAAATACTTGTCTTTCTAGGCTTTCAAATGGACTCAACATACGGATGTATGTAAACATATTTTAAAGTGTAGATTCACTCATTTTACGCCGAATGTAGTCACTTGTTGAAATCTCTAGAAAGACAAGTATTTAGGAACGAAGGGAGTATAGATTAATCCCTCCTAAAATACTCCAACAACGCTCTGCAAAAAATTATATATCCAGACTGATTTACTAACACAGCTGCATAATAAATACTCCCTCCGTTCCTAAATTTTGTCTTTCTAGAAATGTCAACAAATAATTATATACAAAGTAAAATGAGTGAATCTACACTTTAAAATATGTCTATATACATTCGTATATGATAGTCCATTTGAAGACAACTATTTAGGAACGGATGGAGTATATGCACAATGCAGTACAGGAGCAACACAGTGTACATCATAAACATGTTGCACCACAGATTTCTTTTTGAATTATCACACCCAAACCATGACTTATTTTCCGGATTTTTAACAGAGGGGAAAACGGCTCACGTGCATAGCTATCACCCGTTCCCACAACGTAAAACCCAAGCAAAGCTCAGTACTACTACTTCGTTCTCTCCAGCTCCTGTCCCCTCAATGGCAGCCTTTCTCTCGGCAAGCTCAAATCCAGCCCCGACACGCTCACACACAAGACAACACCTCTTCACTCCGAATTACAAAAACGCCCCTAAGGTAGGCCTCAGAGAAGAAGACAACATTTCGGTCTTTTTCCCTGCGGCTGCTACGATTTATTCCTCTCTCGAAATAAAATGCCAAGCAAAAGTTTCGGATAAATATTTCCGCACGCCTCTCAAAATATGCAGACTCCCGAGAAATAAAGTAAAATTATGTTTAAAACTGTTCTCTTTCAAAAAGTTGCGGTGGAGCTGCCGTCGCCGCTCCCGTCCGGTCAGGCCGCCAGGGGCTCCGGCGCGAAGAGGTCGTCGAGGTCGGCCAGCTCCACGAAGTCCGCCGAGGGGTCCCACCTGCTGCTGCACGTCGCGGGGAGGCAGAACTGCATCAGGTTGTTCAGGGAGGTCTCCTCGTCGACGAATCCCAGGCCGAACGCTGCCGTCACCTCCTCGTCCGCGTTCACCAAGGACCAGCTGGTGGTCGCCGACTGGGAGGCCGCCGTGGTGGAGGGCGACGGGGGGGAGGCCGCCGTGGTGATGGGCGACGGG